GCAGTACGTTTGGTTTTGTTCGTCGGTACCCTTAGCTTGTTCCAGGTGGGCCCTGGGTGTAACAAAGCCCCTCATCGCGGCTAACCGCTGCTTCGTCTTCAGGTTGACGAACACCTGAAGATGGGGGGTTCCATTTTCTCCAATCTCTTTACCGACAATTGCGTATACACAATTGTCAAGACACAACTGTCGTTTCACGATGTCCAAGTCGATAGATGTGTAGCAGTTGAGTGTGAAGCACCAACGTTTACATGGGTTATCTCGCTTGATTCTGAGACCGGTAGTATCATTTTTGCTGTGCAAAAATGATGGTTTGGATGGTGCTGGTGCCATGGTTCCAGGGTGCCGAGGTTGACGGTAATACTAACGTCAACCTTGGAACGTCTTTGTTTTTTATAGGTTTCAATGCAAAATGGCGCCACGCAAGCGCAGAGCAGTGAAGAGGAGGAGACCAGCTCCGCGCAGGCGTAGAAGCAAGGGACTTCGCGCCATGAATGGGAATACATTCGTGTGGAAAATGCAGAGACAGACAGAATGGATAGTGCCGGTGAAGACCAGCACAGCAGTTCAAGGAGGCTTTTTGGGTGTTGCTGTTAAATTGATGGACTTTGCAACGTCCGTACATTGGGATCAATTTCAGTTTGCTAAAATCAAAGTGGAGGTTAAGCCACGCTATCCCACTTATAATGTCACAGAGACATTTCTGGGTCAGGAGGGGACGTATCCTCCTGATGTTGTAAAGCGTGTATCTGCAGCAGCGGGTTGTAGCAGCGATGTTTGCAGTGAATCTTGCGTCCAAGGAAGCACCAGCTCACAAAGCTTCTGTAGGCTAGATACCTGTGACGCCTGAAATCATTGCAAAGAATATTTAGTGAAAAGCCTATGTCATGTATATAAAATACAAGTACATTTCTTTTTTTTTATGGGTTCAATGAACCGTTGATTTTGAATAAAGTTCCGACAGTTTATATCAAATGTTTCATTATTCATGTTTGGATGGGTAAAGTATATGCTGCTTTCAAAAGCATAAGGTTGTGTGTGTCGTGCACATGGGTGTGTTATGCCATATAATAGTAACGCCATGTACAATGACAGAATTAAATGAAAGATTGCATAAAACCATATACACCAGTATTTATTTTCATGAACAATATTAGCAGACTTTTTACAATTTCAGTCAAAAGAAACAAACCAATCACTGCTGTATTTGCCTCAACTGTAGTCCACCATGTTCAGCTCTGTATATATTGAAAGCATTCTGCAGGGAGAACACATTCAGGCACACAGGCTCCAAACCAGGATGGTCCACTATACAAGGCACAGAGTGCTCAAGTTCCTGCATCCGTCTTGATACCTAATGTGATAAACATATTCAGGGTTCGTACGGGTGCTTGAAATCCTTGAAAATGCTTGAATTTGACTTTGGAAAAAGGTGTAAGAACCCTGCATATTGAATGACATGTGAACAATGTATTCTCTAAACAGACAACTTAGTGAAGCTATCAAAAATGTTACCTGTGGTATCTCCATGCAGCACACATGCTCTGGTTCAGACAGCATTATAGCGCAATTTGCACATGTACACCTGTAGAAAGAAGTCAATAACTGAGCTTTTAAAAACACATGAAACTACACACACTGCTGACAACTGAGGTGTTCAAGCATTTGGAGTTATACTTTTTATGACTAAGTTATTGAACTTTCCAACGGTAACAGTTGTTGCACGATGTTGGAAGAAAAGGACTGTATATTATTAATAAACGTGGCCATTGTATATATGCTGAAAAGATGAATGTCTCCCTATGTAAATATATATATATGTACGGCTGTTTTTGCGTTACAAACTGTACACATTGCATTCTTGCTAATTAGCCAAAATATGAACGGAAACGGAATAAGTAGCAAGCATCGTAACAAACAGAGTTAACGTAAAATAAATAGGGACAACAGCTTGTCAACTAACCATTCATAAACGTCCTGCTGCAACCGAGATGTTTGTTATCACTGCACCCGCCTGAGGAATGTTCTGATTATGGGAGACACATGGAGGAGTCTCCACTGCTCGTCACCCCCCCTGTCAACGCCTTTGAGGATACTCCGTTCACCCTTTCACCCTCGCCCACCCTCCTGGGGATCGTTGAACACATGAAGGAGATACAGAGGGTTGGCACCGATTCCTTCCTGGAGTTCAAAGACCAAACTAAGGCGATACGCAGGGCTGGCACCATGTCCTTTACCCCCGCTCCTCAACGACGCCCACCAAAATCACCGCAGAGACGCACCATCTCCCCCGTCTTCATCACCGCGCCTACGTCAACCACCTCCCTTCCTGGCAGCATGTCCTCTACCCCCGCACCATCTCCCAAGTCTCCATCACCGTGCCTGCGTCGGCCGCCTCCCCTCCCTTCGAGAGGGCATCTGCAGTCTCCGAAGCCTGATAAGGATGTGTGTGTACTAAACGCTGCAAACCGATATTTGCTGGGTCCAGGCTCAAGGGCGTATGGCACTCTCAACTCTTTCCAGGACATGCCGGGGCCCTGCCTGCCAGTAGCTTTGCCGATATCTGTGTTGATAGGTAATAGATTAAGAGCGGTGAATCATAGAAACAGGAAGCGCTCAAACGTTTGTGTGAGTTTATCTAATTTAGCAGTGATTCCATGTCAGCCACAGCTTGTTACAAAAAACATGACTGATAGTGTGTTTAACAAACTTAAAGTAGCTTTATTAAATGTCAGGTCTTTGGCAGGAAAAACATTTTTAATCAATGATTTTATCACTGAGCACAATCTCGATTTTATGTTTTTTACAGAAACTTGGATTGAACAAAATAACAGTGCAGCTGTTCTTATCGAATCAACCCCTCCCAACTTTAGTTTTATGAGTCAGGAAAGAATGCATAAGAAAGGGGGTGGAGTTGCTATTCTGTTCAATGATTCCCTTCAATGCAGGAAGACATCTTATGGAAACTTTGATTCTTTTGAATATGTGGCCCTTCAGCTGAAATGCTCCTCTCGAGCTCTGTTCCTAAATATCTATAGACCACCCAAATACTGTGCAAGCTTTTTTGATGACTTTACTGAACTGCTGTCTATAGTGTGTATTGACTTTGACCGTCTAGTCATTGTTGGTGATTTTAACATCCATGTTGACAACCCCCAGGACAGAGGGGCTAAAGAACTGTTTTGTGTTCTTGATAGCTATGGACTGACTCAGCATGTGACGGAGCCCACGCACAATAAGGGGCACACTCTGGACTTAATTATCTCAAAGGGTGTGAATATCTCTAAGGTTGTGGTGACTGATGTTGCACTCTCTGACCATTCCTGTGTTTTCTTTGAGAGCTCTATTTCTGTTCACAAAAATGTTCAAAAAGAGGTAACCACAAAGCGATATTTAACTGAAAACACTAGGGAAATGTTTACTCAGAATTTTTCTTCCACACTTGCCCCTGCTAACATCTCAGTAAATGAGCTAGTAGATTATTTTAATTCAAAAATTTAAAATGTTATAGATGCCATTGCTCCAACTAAGGTAAAGGAAGTGACTGGCAAGAAAATATCTCCATGGAGAAAGGTACGGTGGCCGGCAGGTGCAAACGCGGAACAACGGCCCAAAACGCATACATAAGCAGGAAACACCTGCAAATAATGAAATGAAAATCAAACAAACCCTGAAAACAAATACAACAGAAAAACGCTGCATTTACAGAAATGATATGCAAAGTCCAAAGCACATACAAATCCCAAAACACTTACAAAAAAAACATTCCGGAAGTGCTCCAGGCCTCTAGGGGGCGCGCTACGTGGAACAGATTGATGTCTGACCAGACATAGAGGGAACGAACAAGAGTGATGGAAATCGAGTGGAAAGAAAGTTCATTTAAGTGGAGAAAGATATAAGAAGGTACGTTTTGTTTTTATACATAGAGCGTCATATTTATATAGCTAGCGTGAGCGTGCCTAACTACTACACCAGCTGAGGAGAGCTTCACGTGAAGAGAAGATAAAGTGAGGGAAGAACATTGTTAAAAGAGATGACAAATCAAGTGCAGGCAAATAACACGGGCCGTAGTGAGTACCGCGGAAAAAGGACATTTGAATTCTTAGCAGTTTGTTTATATGTATATATTTGTGTATAGATGTTGCAACTATACAGAGCTTTAGCAATTACCTGTAACTATGGTCATGCTAATAAAGCTCTTGAATTGAGAGAGAGAGAGATGTGACAACATGTGAAGAGGGACAAAGTAATGACAGGAGAGTAGTTTGCATTAGACATGCTCAAGAACAAATATAGAGACATTCAAGGAGAGAGAACACAGATTCAACGGTAAACATGATGTATCTTTCTATTTATTTAGCTAACCACTATTTAGACTATGTGTTTTTGATTAACTTGATTAAATGGATTTACTACATCAATGTATGTCTTTTCAGGCCGCCATGTTTTGTCCTTTCTGTGGCCAGCATCTGGGGACAGTTCAAGTGTTCTGTGGCTCCTGTGGCAAACATGTACAGTTTGTGGCAGAAGTTGAACACAACAGTAAGTTCATTCTTCAAATGGAAGAAATAAGGATTCAACACACTACTCTGTTTAGAATACTAATTGGCAGATGCATACACTAGTTATCAGCATGAAGGACACATTTTTCCATTGTCTGTTTATGTGAAATATGTAGAAGCCATCATTAAATTGTAGACCAATGCATGATTAAATACACAAAACAGCTTATATTATACATTCATAATTGTGTATTAGTTCTATCTTTATAGAGAACAATATACATTTAGAATCAGATTTTGAGACAGTGAGCGGCTGGAAAGTCACACCGCCATGGACCACAAACAGTTGCTGACGTGATGTTTTCTTCATTCTCAGGCATTCCATAAGGAGGGTCAGGAACTCACGCTTGGGACCACCAGTGTCCCCTCCATCCTCAGTGTGTCCCTCATCATCAGTGAACTTAACTGACATCTCATGAGAGGGATCGAATGAGGCACCTTTGAAGTCGCGGATTGCTCCATCCCACACATTGGCTCTTAATATTGAACCTGCTGCAAGATGTATTTGTTATTTTTGCAGAGAGTTCTGCAACAATGTGTGCCGCAGTCAGGTATTCTGTGCTGGGAAAGACAAAGTGATGTATTGTAATATTAAATGATGAAGCTAGTAATAAGATTTACAGTATAGAATAGAAAAATTAAGTGGTAATAGTAACAATTAATACCTTTGCTCCATTGTGTCTTCTGGCTCAGACTGGCTATCAATAATGATAAGTGCATACACAGTTGTGTAGTTGCTGCAGTGAGAAGACAGTTGAATAATTACTTTCAAATACATAATATATGCATGACAGTCATATTTACAAAAGGATGTCAATCCTCTTCCTGTTTTTTCAATACATTGGGTTCTAAACTGACAACAGCACTTTGTCATACTCCTACACAATCCTTGTAAACATTTTAAATGGATGCAACAAAAAATATCTGATCTTTGAAAAATATTTGTGGGTGTTTTTTGTATTGTCTTCACTAAGATGTCAGATGTTGTGGGTGTCATTTGGAAATGTATAAAAGTACAATTGTTCTGCTCCCTGGCAATGTTACCCACTGTGATTGGAGGCTATACAAACAAACACATGTACACACCAAACAACTGTGTCACGATGCAACTGTCAACATGGTTTACCTGTAGAAGTGGTTCTGACCCGGGGCAGACTGGACCTCTTCCTGGAATGGGGTTGGTGCTCCATCCTATTTTTACCCAGGAAATAAGTGCACACAAAGGTATTTATTAATTTCATGTTCACAAATTCAAACCTACATGGTATAATTACATTTTTAATTAGTCTTACCCGATCAGACGCTGGTTGTGGGTGCCTGAGAGGTCTGATAAAGGTAAACAACAAATATATTCAAACTACTGTACTGTTAAAACATTCTGCTTCTTGTGGCACAAAATAATACGTTGACAATGTTTTATTTTACCCTGCAAACTGTTGTCCATTCGTGGAGTGCTCACTTTTGGAACATTTGGAATGTCCCACACCTACACAAATGACTGACTGAAATAAAAATAAATTCACTTTAATTAAGAATAGATGCCACGATAAATCCAAACTGACCAAGGTACATTATATTGTTGACCGTTCTTTAACTCTCACATTAGGATTTACATTGAAGCACAATAAACCAACTCCTCTCTGCACCTATAATATATCTATATGATGTCAAGAGTTACATTTAGGTGCACAGACAGTGCTGTCTCTTGACTTGCAAGCTCTTTCACCAAACAAGCTAACGCTAGCTGGGTAAATATGACGCTCTTTGTATCAAAACAAAACGTACCTTTTTATATATCGTCTTTTTCCACTTCGATCAACTTCGTTTCCTCCGGCTTCAATTTGCAGCACTCTTGTTCGTTCCCTCTATGTCTGGTCAGACATCAATATGTTCCACGTAGCGCGCCCCCTAGAGGCCTGGAACACTTCCGGAATGTTTTTTTTTGTATGTGTTTTGGGATTTGTACGTGCTTTGGACTTTGCATGTCGTTTTGGTATTTGCAGCGTTTTTTTGTTGCGTTTGTTTTCGGGGTTTGTGTGTTGTATTTAGTTTGCATCATTTCTGTAAATGCAGCGTTTTTTGGTTGTATTTGTTTTCAGGATTTGTTTGTTTTTCATTTGAGGATTTGCAGCTGTTTCCTGCTAATGTATTTGTTTTTGGCCGTTGTTCCGCGTTTGCACCTGCCGGCCACCGTAGAAAGGCCATGAGCGTGAAAACAGAAAAAAGAGACTGTCGAAAAGCTGAACGCAGGTGGCGAAAAACAAATCTCCAAGTTCACTTTGAAATCTATAAAGAGAGACTTGGCCTTTACAATTTGGAATTGAAAAACGCACGACAATCATTCTTCTCTGACATCATTACCAAAAACAAAAACAACGCACGTGCCTTGTTTGCTACCGTCGACAGACTAACTAACCCCCCAGTGTCAGTAGCCTCTGAATTTCTATCCACCAGGGCGTGCAATGATTTTGCCTTCTTCACTCACAACATTCAGAAAATCTGACAAGCAGTCAGTGCCTCTGCATCAGGAACAGCAAATGTGTTGTCTCTGTGTCCACTTAACATCAATTCAGACATCATGACACAATTCCATCAGATTAATGATAAAAACCTAGAGGACATTATTCAACTTCTGAAATCCTCCTCTTGCTGCCTTGATATTATTCCAACAGGATTTTTCAAAGATGTTTTTCGTTGCATGGACTCAGATCTACTTCATATAGTAAACAAATCTCTTCACTCAGGTATTTTTCCACAGGCCCTGAAAACTGCAGTCATTAAACCGCTCTTAAAAAAGAATAATCTAGATGCTTCAGTAATGAACAATTACAGGCCCATATCAAACCTCCCATTTCTAGGTAAAATCATTGAAAAAGTTGTTTTTCAACAGTTGAGTAATTTCTTGCATTTAAATAACTGTTTTGATGTGTTCCAGTTAGGCTTTCGTCCAAACCACAGCACTGAGACTGCTCTTGTAAAGGTCTTTAATGACATCCACTTAAACACAGACAGTGGCAGAACTTCAGTGTTAGTATTATTAGATCTCAGTGCTGCGTTTGACACTGTTGACCACAGCATATTACTAGACCGACTGGAGAACTGGGTGGGACTTTCGGAAACAGTTCTAAATTGGTTTGAATCCTACTTAAAGGACAGAAACAACTTTGTTTCTATAGGTAAATACACATCTGAGTTGACAAATATGACATGTGGGGTTCCTCAAGGCTCCATCTTGGGGCCTCTTCTCTTTAACATCTACATGCTACCACTAGCTCAGATAATGAAAAACAACAAAATAAGTTACCATAGCTATGCAGATGACACACAAATTTACATAACAATTTCACCAGGAGACTATGCTCCAATTCAAACACTGAGTAAGTGCATTGAACAAATCAATGACTGGATGTGTCAGAACTTTCTCCAATTAAACAAAGATAAAACTGAGGTAATGGTTTTTGGAGCCAAGTCAGAACGTATAAAAGTTAGCGCTGAGCTTCAGTGTGCAATGTTCAAAACAACAGATAAAGCCAGAAATCTAGGTGTAGTCATGGACTCTGACCTGAGTTTCAACAGTCACATTAAAACAGTTACTAAATCAGCCTACTATCACCTAAAGAACATATCTAGGATTAAAAGACTAATGTCACAGCAGGATTTGGAAAAACTTGTCCATGCTTTTATCTTCAGTAGACTGGACTACTGCAATGGTGTCTTCACAGGTCTCACTAAAACATCTATTAGGAAGCTGCAGCTGATTCAGAACGCTGCTGCTTGAGTCCTCACTAACACTAAGAAAGTGGATCACATCACTCCTGTTCTGAAGTCTTTACACTAGCTTCCTGTGTGTCAAAGAATAGATTTCAAAATACTGCTGCTGGTTTATAAAGCACTGAATGGTTTAGGCCCAAAATACATTTCTGACCTTCTAAATTATGAACCATCCAGATCTCTCAGGTCTTCAGGGACTGGTCCGCTTTCTGTCCCCAGAGCAGTGCTGGAATTGGGCCGGGACTCACCGGTACGCAGTACCGGCACTTCTGGTTCTGACCCATGGAGTACCGGCACTTCTTGCTCAGTACCGGCATGCTGGCGGTACTCCGGTACTCATGCACCGTGCCAGTACTCAACACTCTCCCGCCGTTCTTATTATACAACCATATATATATATATATACAGCCGCCCGGTACTCAGTAGATGCGTCATGAGGTGCCGAACGGACATTCTCATCGCTCTAACCGCTGGAGTTTCACAGCGGCTGTCATCTGTTTACTCCTGTCATTCAAACAGAACGTGCTGGAGAGGGGGCGGGGCTTATCTTCTCCATGTAAATACTGGGGTGGAAACGACTATGTCAAAATTAACCTATTTGACCTATGATTTGACCGTGATTTAAACGTGAACACGTTTCAAAATAATAATAATAATAATAATAATAATGCCGAAGTAACAACATACTGAAAACTGTTAGTAAAACCATGTTTTAATGCTTTACAATTTACATACCTAGATGCACGTGTGTTGTGTTTATGCAGTGCAACTCCCACCCAGTGGGTGGCTATGTAGAGTGATAGAACAGAGCAGGCACGCCCCCGAGAGAAGGAAAGCAAGTCACGTCACAAATTAGCATTTCTAAAATGTTAGCGTGGATTAATAAAAGTGCAAAAAGACAGCGGTTGTCGCCGGAAGAAACTTCAAATACAGAGAATGCTGTGCCTGTGTTGGAAATTGTGTCTGATGGGGAGCTTTCTTTGGTTGATCCTCCTGCTCCAAGTTCTAGTGCATTAGCATTAGCACTAGCTCCGCCGCCTCCTCCAGAGCCTCTAACGTTAGCTGCTGCTGGCGCAACTGCCACCACCAACACCGGGCAAAGCGATGCACCTGACTGCTGGACAACGGACCAGGTGCAATATTTTTGCAAGACCAATGCATGGCTCCTTCTTAAAGATAAGAAGCTAGGATGTCGGATATGCAGAGATGTCAAATCTTTGGGAATACACACTGGACAAGGACTGAAACTGTCAACTGAATGGGGTGAGTGTGCAGTGTCTCATTTCGGTGTTGACAAGGGCAAACAACAAGCTAGCCTGAGAAAAAAAATCAAAGAACATAAAGAATCACAAGCCCATGTAAAAGCTGCTGACATCCTTACATCTGCTTCACGTGAAACTATTCAACATCAAGTGCAGTCTATGCATACATCTGAATTAGACACCACTATCAGAGTTTTTCGAACGGCATATAAAATTGGCAAACATAGCCGGCCATTCACAGACATGCCAATTGATTTGAATGTACAGAAACTGAATGGGCTGAACGTGGGCAGGGTTTTGCACTCCAATAAAACCTGTGGCGAAATCATCGACCACATAGCTCATGAGCTGAAGAAAAAAATGGCAAAAGACATTACAGAAAACCAAAGAAAACTCTGTGTTTTGGTCGATGAATCTACCACTATTAGTGGTAAAACGGTGCTTGTTGTGTGTCTACGCTCAGTGTAAGAGAATATTTTCATCTGATCTGTTTATAGAGTTTCTTATTGTTTTATAGAATCTGTGATACTGCAAACATCTGCTTGTAGTCAGTCAAAGACCCCTGTGTAGGTTGAGGCTTGTCTGGATCTTTTTGAGACAAGTAGACTATTGTCTCACATCTGCTACTAATTAGGTATACGCGGGCTTTCTGGGAGCCCGCCTCTCCTCGTGTTGGTTAGATGTTTTGTGTCTTTTGGGGCAGAGATTACCTTGGTGGAGCACAAGGACAGTGTGAAACTAGGATGATCTCCCGGCCGTATGTAATTGTCTGTCTCTCAATAAATATCAGTGTAAATGACAGGTGAATCCAGTTTCACTCATTTGATGATGCGCTCAACATTGCTGCAAAGAAGTTTTTACTTCACACTCAGCATTAGCTGATGCTGAGCCCGAAACGTTTTTTTGGGAGCTGATCGAGTTGGATGGAACAACGGCTGATGACATCACAAAGGCGTTAATGGAGTGTCTTGGAAGAGATTTTAACGAGGACTTTTTAGGTCAGTGTTTCGTTTATTTTGCATGTGATGGGGCTTCAGTCATGCTAGGGAAGAGAACAGGCGTTGCTACCCAGTTGTGTAGTAAATTCCCAAGCCTGTTTGTGTGGCACTGCTCCAATCATCGTCTAGAGCTGGCAGTTGGGGATGTGGTCAAGGAGGTCTCAGGGCTCAATCATTTCCAGATCTTTTTTGACAAACTCTATTCCTTGTTCCATGCCTCCCCCAAAAATCAGAGGCAGTTAGCGCAGTGTGCGCAAGCAGTCGTACAGCGTCTCCTGGTGATAGGGCGTGTTTTGTCCATCCGCTGGGTGGCTTCAAGTGAAAGGAGCGTCAGAGCAGTCTGGGAAAACTACCGAGTGCTTCATGATCACTTCACAAATGCTGCAAACGACACGAGCAGGGATTCCAGAGACAGAGCAAAGTACAAGGGCCTGGATGATGTGCTCACATCTGCAACGTTTGTCAGCAATCTGGGACTGATGTACGATGCGCTCACAGAGCTCAGCGACCTCTCTCGGCAACTCCAAAAAAGAGAGATGACACTGCCTACAGCAGATAGGCTCTTAACTCGAGAAATACGAGTTTTTGAATCCATGGTCACCATGCCTGGCCCACACATGACTACAGTTCATACAGCTCTAGCTGAGAAGTCCTTCAAGGGTGTTGCCCTGCGTGAGAATGGCAGGCTTGTACAGATTCATGCAGGTCAGTTTTTCCGCAGTATGGTAGAGAATCTGAGACACAGAATGACTTCCACAACCTCCTCTCATGTCAGCACAAGAGAAATCCCATTACATGGCCGGGAGGCCCGGGACAATCAGCTAATCCAGGACATGAAAGTTATCCATCC